ACATGTACCAATGAACACCAAACCTAGTCCCTGAGGTAAGGAAGACCACTTTTGTCACCTAGACACGTCGTCGACGGGTGTTTCTCCTCCCCTGAACCTGTACTTCTCGTTGTCGACAACCGAATCTCTCCATTCGTCATTATCCTTGCACAAGATACTGGTTTCGAGGAAAGTATTATATATCCAAATTAAAGGTATAGTGTTATTACTATGTAAAGTGTTCTTTCGGGTAAAAGACGACATTTAAGTTATTTATCCATCCGATCAATTTTATAGGTTTACCTTTCCGGATAACGAATAATGTAAGACTTAACATTATTGAATTGTTCCGGATTTGACGTTTTTCACAGGGTGTCAGAGATGTAAAGTTTCCCCTAGTTCTGTCTAGTCTTTTCCAAATCCGGAGGTCTTCGTTGGTGTCATCTGTCTTTCCCGGTTGTTACTTACTTACTTCACATTTGTATCAGTAATTTACATATATAACATCACTGGAATTAAATTTGTCATTATAACAAGACACTGCGAGTCTATCTACAGGACAATAAGACTAAGTCAAGGTAAGTGTTCTTTCGAGAAACAAACAATGTGTAGAATACTCCCCTGTGATTACTATAATATACTCCATTATCTACACTTTTCCACTAAGACAATAAATAATACAGACTAAAAAAGTAACACGTAATTAAGTATCCATACAACTATGGTATGACTCAAGTGGCGTTTCCTCTCTAAAAGGAAGTGGTTGTGGAGTAGTCGAGGTGGAGGGACGGTTCCTCTTGGACAAGGTCGTCGTGTCGGCTGTAAGGGACTTCGTCGCGACCTTTGTTGACACCTCTCGGATGGGAGCTGAATCTGTCCGTTTCGAAGTTCTGCCTTGACAGGGAGCAGATACTTTATTACTGTCAAGTCCCGAACGTCACACGACAATGAGACGAGGTCAGAAATAACTGTTGTTAGAGGTCCTCTGTAAGTGTCTCTGGACAGTCAGAAGATCCTAAGACCATTGGTGTGGGTACGATGCCGACTCCGTCTCTCCACGACGCAAAGGTGAGACTTTCTTTTGATTTCTTGAAAGAACTCCTGTCGGACTGTGTCTATTAGTCACTACAAGCGCGGATTAGCGAGCGGACCGTAGACACGTTTGTGGCAAGAATTGACAAATTAGGTTTGACTATTTGAAATAGTAGTCAGAGATACACCTTATAAACGTTATATAATATATACAATTCCAGTAAGTATGTATGAGTTGGTCTATTGTGTTCAGCTAAATCACATTTAGGTTTCACAGATTTCCTATAATAAGCACATCTCAGCCATTGTAAATAATGATTTACCTGATTGTTTGTATGCTGCTGGTGAACCTCTTGATGAGTCCTGTGATGTAGACAGAGTCGATGTTCCTCTTCTGCAGTTGGCTAAACAGCATGTCTACATGTGGCATGATCTTGTGGAACAATGTCAGGAAAAAGCTAAAAACTTCATCTTCCATCATTCTCACAAAGCCCCCGGCTTCTCTCACTGTTATGGGATCAAAGTCACCTGAGTCTCTGATTGTCTGGAAACACCTCAGGATGTTCTC